TAGCAACTGCACGTATGCACGCTGCTGGTTTTTTCCGCACAATATATAACATGCACAAATGTCGTACTTCCGCGGGAACAATAGCAGTATATACACATATGCATGCTGTTGTGAGTTTTGCCATGTTGTTATTATTTTTGAAAACGGAGCCCCCTGAGTTCAATTCGACATTCGTTTTTTTGGTAAATGGAGGATCGGTGCATAACTGATGTTTGTGTTTCTTTTGTGGGGAGAGTGGCTACGGTACATGTACACATATAACAAGGATGTCCACGCATAAACATTCAAACTGTATATACTATGTGTGGGTATGTGTATACAAATATATGTTTGTAACAGTACACAGACCATATGTTTACAAATGCAGCAAGCAGACGAGCGTGGACCACAAACAGTTGTGTGAGTCTCCCGGAGCAATCCGGCCTGGGAAGTCCCCTCGCCCCCCTCGGTGAGACCCCAAAGTTTGTTGTGGATAGTTTGGATCTCCTCCTACATTACATTTACGTGAGGTCTCGGCTTCTTGTTGCCACTTGCAGGGAGTTGAAAGCTGTGCATTTCAATTCGATTGTGCTCGCGCCGTGCCAGGGGATGGGTCTATATCACGATGTCGTGCGTTACATGTGTTCAGGGGTTTCGGCTTTCGCAGTCGCAGATTCTCCATTTTACGCTTCCCGTCCAGGGGTGTGGCCCGAGATGAATTGCCCGTGGGTGTAGTATGAAAGAACTGGACTGACCAATTAGTTCGGTCGAGAGCCGCCAGTGTGGCGTTGCCAGTTGATGATTGGATGTTTATTGAATTTGAGGCGTTGTGGCACCCAAGTTGCTGCTGCTGCTGGTTCCCTCTAGCCGTTTGGTTTCGAGGCGTCCCGCCGACGCCCCTCGGCGCGGTTGCGCCGCGTACAACACCCGTACTTACGCCCGAGCTGCGATGGGGGGGAAGCGAAACCCCGCCTCCGCCGCGCGTGGGCAGGCCCCGAAGAGGCCGAGGGGCCCGCCGACGGCCGTGAACGGCGGGAGCGGCTCGGCCGCCGCGAGCCGCGTGTCTGCTGCTCTGTCCGCTGCAGCTGGCGCCGCGCCTCCGCAGCCCAGGCCCAGGACGAACGCCGTCGTGGACCCTGGCGTGCCGAGCTCCTGCTGCTGCTTCTGCTTGGGGCCCCTGGAGAGCGGCGGGCCCGCCCATGGGGATGAGGCCCACGAGCGTTGCTACAAGACTTGGGAGATCGGCTACTCGTACTTGGAGATGAGCGTGTGCGCCCTCAAGTGCCGCACGGAGGATGCATTCAACAGGTCGTTCAAGAAGTCCAACGGCGTCTTGCACGACAACGCGCAGCTCTCCTTCTACCCAGGTGCGGTGAGCCAGGGCGTCACATCTTCGCAAGTTGTCTCCCGTACTTTCGGAGCGTTCAGCAGGAGTGAGTTCTTCGACCACTGGAAGTACATGCCAGAGCAGGTTGGCATCAAGTGCAGGACGCTCTGGGACGAATGGGGCGCTGAATACGCTGGAGTTCTCACCTTGGAGATTGCGGGGGCGCCGCGCATCTTCACCATGGAGCGCAGTAAGTCCCTGAATCGCGACGAGCACAGCTTACAGGTTGCCAACTGCATCCACAAGGACCAGCCCGTGGAGACCTTCAACGTGATGCAGCAGCAGGTCGCGGCCGACGTGGAGCCGACTGGGGCCAAGGTCACAGGGCCGACACTAGGGTTCGAAAGGTTTTTTTTTTTTTTTTATTTCGCGGGTGGGGGGTCCGCAGGTCCGAGGTCCCGAAGCCCCCAGGGGGCAGATGAAATAGCATGTGGGGGGGGGGGTTGTTATGGTCTATATGTGGGCGTCCCATACTTGGAAGACTTGACTGTGTGGCCAGCTTGTGAGAGATAGCGTTTTTGTTCCTAGGGGTGTCTTGGCTGGTCGTGAAGGCGCTCAGGGGATGCATGATATCTTGGAGGGCCAATGCTTCGGTGATGCGCCGATGCGTCGGCGATGTCGCGTCCTCGTGTGTTTCGTAGGCACGCATGCTCCCACCAGATATCGTTTCGAGAGGTTCGCGTTGGCTGTCCTGAGTCTGGGGGTCTTTGGCGAAGCGTCGTTGTGTATCGGTATTGGGGCCCTCGCCTGGGCCCCAGTCGTAAACTCTTTTGGGCGACCGTCCTGGGTTTCTCACGGGCTGCCTGGCTGACCGAGTTTCATTCTCTTGCCGTCCCAGGCGTTGTCCATGGCAGAGATCACGCGGCGCTGCGACGCGAAGAAGGTGCCGAAGAGCTCGGCAGCAGAGGATCCTCAGCGTGTCGCTGCGGAGGTTGCCGACACGGGGGCCAGCGACGTCGTCGAGCCGAGTGCCCCGACCATCCTCGGGGGCTGTCATCGCGTGGCTTCTGTTCGCAACGCTGCGTGCACTCGGAGGGCCAGGATGATTGCCGACAGCCCAGTGGTTGCTCGCCTCCCGTCGGGCAGCGCAGTGGGCGCGGGGTCCCCGAGCGTGGCATCCTTGAGCTTGGAGTCGCCCTTGGCCGTCGGCAGCGCTGCGCCGCCTCCAGGCTCTGTCATCGGGCCACGCGACTCGGTATCCCAGATCGGCGACGACATTCCGATGGGCGTCTGCCCCAAGATGGAGCCGCCCTCCAAGGAGATGCTCGAGCACGACCCTTTCAAGTACAAGTGGGAGGCCCAGGTTTTCAAGCTGCGGACAAGCTCTGTCCTCAACGGCAGGACGTCTTACGGCCGCGAACGGCGGACTGCCGAGATCTACCACGAGGAGGCGACGAAGGTCGGGCGGTCCGGCCTGGCGACGACCTTGAGGGAGGAGATTGACTTCAACGAGAAGTGCGAGATGGCCGCGAAGGGTGACATCCTGACGATGGACTCTGCCGCGCTCGCGGCGTTGTGCGCTGAGATCAACAACAAGCAGCCGCCCATGTTCTACACAACGAACTTCCTGCTGGTCGTGAGGGCCTTGAAGGATTGGAAGGTCGAGGCGGTGACCAAGGGCATCGAGGCATTGTTCGACAAGTTCTGGGACATCCAGTCCCCCTCTAAGTTGGAGGTAGACAGCGAGGAGCACATCGAGTTCGACGTGATGCAGCCGCGTTTGCGAGCAGTCGGCGGGTCAGTCGCCGAGCGGTGCTCGAAGATGCTTGACAACCTTTACGACTGCGTCCTCTGCCCCTTGATCGCTGACGGGAAGAACTCTCTCCCTGTGCTGGTGGCCATATGCAAGAAGCTCGTCCTACAGGTCGACGAGGTCATGGAGTGCCAGGCGAATGGCGAGCTGGAGGACTGGGGCGACACCGTCGTCAACGTGTGCAGGGCGTTGGTTGGCATCGCTGTGGAGGACGCCAAGCTGACGCGCGAGTCCTGGTTGGCCGTCGAGGCGCTGGACAGGTCTGGCTCTCCCATCTTCGCATCGATCAGGGCGAGCCCCTTCTACCGCGATGCCCTGGCGACGTATCGCAGGGTGCTGCCCGCGACCAAGAGGCTCGGCGGGCCGATCGCCACCGCCGAGGCCGACCTCAAGAGCCTGCCCGAGGAGCTGACGCATGTGAACATTGTCGTCATCGAGAAGGCCATGGCCCAGCTCAAGGAGGCGAAGGGCCAGCAGCTGCGCGTGGGGGAGTACTTCCACCTCGAGAAGGAGTTGGTGCCCAGGGTTGCGGCCATGCGGGACCACTTGGGTGGAAACTCCAACTGAACCCATGGTCCACCATTTTGCTTCCTGAGGGGTCGTTTGATCGTGTTCGCCAGGGTGGGGGGAGGAGGGGCGGTGGAGGAGGGATAAGGATTACGATGGGGATGAGGATGAGGGTGATGATAAGGGGGCGAGGATGAGGATGATAGTTAGGATGAGGACGGTGGTGATGACGATGATGAGGATGACGAGGGTGATGATGAGATGAAGGGCGAGGAGGAGGAGGACAAGGATAAGGACAAGGATGAAGACACAGAGGAGGGGGAGGAGGAGGAGGAGGAGGATGAGGACAAAGAGGAGGATGAGGAGGAGGGAAGGGAATGAGGAGGGCAAGGAAGGGAATGAGGAGGGATGAGGATGAGGATGAGGATGAGGGGCCCATGCGTATGATGATGAGGAAGGACGAGGAGGAGGATGATGGGACATGATGAGGACATCGTATACAGCCTATATGCGCTGATCACGGTGGTCTCGGTTCTGATGTTGACGATGGCATGACGGTCATTGCGGCGCTGATTATGATAATATTGATGATGACGATAGTGATGTTGATGTTGTTGATAATGTTGGTTTTGATGTTGCTGTTGAAGGTGATGGCGATGCCAAGAGAACTGATGGTCATGACGATCATGCTGGTGCTAGTGATGTTAACGATGATCTGATTGTTAAGAATGTTGACGGTGGTGGCGCTGATGACGGTGAAGTTGATATTGATGGTGACATTTGTGTTGATGATGGTGACGGTGATGGCGAGATTGATGGTGATTATGATGACGATGATGTTGTTGATGGTGTTGATGATGGTAGTGATGCTGTTGATGGTGATGACGATGACGATGAGGCTGATGATGTTAGTGATGGTGCATGAAGATGTTGGTGCTGCAGATGGCGGTAATGGCGATGGTGATGAAGATGATGCTGAAACTGATGATGATGGTGATGGTGTTGATTATGATGTTGGTGTCGATGATGACGATGTGGTTGACGATGATGTTGATGCTCAGAATGGTGACGTTTTGCTGGTGATAGCGATGTGGATGATGATGATCATACTGCTAATGGTGATGATGGTGTTGATGGTGATGATGATTATGGCGGTGACCATGATGATGTTGTTGGTGATGGATGTGATGATGATGATGATACCCACCTCCTCCTTTTCCTCGTCCTGCACCCCTCCTCGCTCTCTTTCTCCTCGCCCCCCCCTTCGCCATGCCCCCCCCCCCCACCCCTGGCGTAGTATGCCCACTGGGCCGGCCCCTGAAGCCGCGGCTCGGCCGCGCGGTTTGGAACCCCGTTTTTTGTGCGCCTCCCGAGGATATCATGAAGCAGCGCGTCGTTTCAGCGTCCTTCGATAACGCCACGGCCGATTCCGTCCGCGCTTTCGCCGAGAAGGGGGCCGAGAGCTTCGATGATCCTGGTGGTGCCTTCGCGAGTATCCAGGCGTCGTTGGAGAAGCAGAAGGCTTCGATCAGCCTGAGTGCGAAGGTCACGCAGTATGCCGAGGTGGCGTCCAACTGGGCGCGCGCCAACCGTGGGAAGGAGAGCATCGAGAGTGCCGACGCGCTGAACCAGGTGACGAACCTCGCCAAGGGCCTCGATGGCATGTACTTGTCGGATGCGGATTCGGCAACTCGGGAGACAGCGGCGCTCGAGGTGCTAACGATTCTCAATGATATGCTGTGCGGCAGTGCTACCAACACGTATTCGGCTTCGGTGGCCGAGTTGAAGGAGGTCGCCACGATCGCGAGCGCCTGCAAGACGCTGCGGTCTCAGGTGCCAGACGATGAGGGCATGGAGAAGTTGTCATTCGTCATCTTGTTCACCGAGAACCTGGACCTTGCCGATTCCCTGCTGAAGTATATGTCCTTGCCTGATGGCGCTGCCGCGCGGGTCAAGGCGGACAAGACCCTGGCGATCACCCAGGAGGCGGTGGCGGCGTTCGACAGTCTTCTTAAGGCCACTCGTCGTCGTCGTCGCCCTCCGTGACTTCCTGACTTCTCCTTCCCTCCAGCCTCTCTGTCCCCCTCCCCGTTCCCGCTCCCGTGCCTTGCGCAGCTGCTAGATGCGTAAGGCGGGCACGGGAGTTGGGGCTGGCTGGGGCCAGGGGGGGGAGAGTCACACGGGAATGAAGTGAGCCCAGAGCTAAGGACTCACAGGGGGAGGTGGGTGGGGCATGGGGTAGGATCTGCAGTGCGTGTCCTCCGCTCCTCCTCCCTCATTCGTTTACCCACCCTCCTCCCAAATCCCCCTGCCGCCCTCTCGCCATCCTGGAGCGGTTTGCGCGGAAAGGCGGAGGGGGGCTGGGGAGGGGATAGGGTAGACGAACGAGGGTGGTGAAGGGAGCGGAGGACACGTGCGTGAATCCAGGTTCGTCTCCCTCCTGCTTTCTTGCCCCGTGCCATCGGCCAACGCCCCTATCCCCGTGGGCGGACTTCGCTCACTCGACTTACGTCGCTTGCTCTGCCTCCCCCATCTTCCGCCTCCCCGAGGCCGCGGCTGGCGCGGCCTCGACTCGCCTGGAGCAGTGGCAGGTCGCCTTGCGGTGCCGCTTGACGGCTCAGGCGGAGATCGGCCTGCCAGCGAGGCGCCAGAAGCTCGACGAGAGTGCCATCCCGATCGAGAGGTTGCAGTTCGGGACTGCGCGTGGCGAGCTCTGGTCAGGGGGGCTCGCCGCGGACGCTGAGCTCGACCAGCTGCTGGCGCACGCGACGGACTCGATCCTGGCGGACTACGCGGCCCCGCTGACGGTGAAGAACCACGCGGTCACTCTCTCGACCAGGGAGACGGAGTGGACTGCGGCGGCCAAGCTGTACCAGCAGCACGACCAGACGGTGACGGAGCAGTACCAGAAGATGGTCATGCACACGAAGGTGCGCGTGTCGGAGGCGACGTGCCTCATGGCACTGAAGGAGTTCTCTGGCCGCCCGATGAAGCTGAAGCGGCTCTTGAGCTCGGAGCGCGATGAGTTGGCGGCCAGCGGGTGGTGGGAGCACGTGCAGCCGGCCCTGCGCGCCCAGGTCGAGGACGCCACGAAGTGGAGTCGCAAGGCTGCTGGTGCGGGTGAGTCCTAGGCTGCTCGCTGCGATGGGGTGGTATCGCGTCGAGGTTGCAGCATGGGGCGAGAAGATGGCGGATGGCAGGTTCAAGCCGCCTCCCCCCCCTTGGTCGCTGCCCTGGCATCTTGGCTGGGCGCGGGCGATGGCCACGGGGCAGGGGGTGGAATGGGCCTGCGATCCTTCGCCGCCATGCTGCAGCCTCGTCGCGCCACCACCCCCATGACTCCATCAGTAATGTGGCCGTCGATGCGCCGACGGATACGATAATGAGAAGAGGACCGCGGAGGGGATGAGGGGCACGGTGAGGAGGAGGAGTTGGCCATCGGCCTCCTCCTCCTCCTCACCGTGCCCCTCCCCCTCCTCCTCCTCCGCCGCCTCTTCCACCTCCTCCTCCTTCTTGTCTTCCTCCTCCTCCTCCTCCTCCTCCCCATCCTCCCCCTCCTCCCCCTCCTCATCCTGCCCTCCTCCCCCTCCTCCTCCTCCTCCTCTTTTCCCTCCCTCCTCCTCCTGCTGCTCCTCCTCCTCCTCCTCCCCCTCCTCCTCCTCCTCCCCTTCCTCTTCCTCCTCCTCTTCCTCCTCCCCTCCGTCCCACTCCTCCCCCTCCTCCTCCTCCTCCTCCTCCTCCTCCTCCTTCTCCCCCTCGTCGTCTTCATCGTTTTCAGGGTCGGCGGTGGGTGGATGGGAGGGGTGGCATGAGATTAGACGGGGGGACTTTTAGGGTCAGGATCAAAGGGGCACGGAGGATGGATTCAAACGAACGGGGAGGCAGCATCGTCGGCCGCTGGTGTGCTTGCCTGGAGGTATCTCTCTGGGGTGCGCGGGCTCAAGATAGCTCCTTAGGGTGCGCCGCCGCTCGCCTGGGGTTTCAGCTGGTGGTCGCGGGCTCGCCTGGAGGTATCTCTCTGGCTTGCGCGGTGCTCGAGATAGCTCGTTAGGGTGTGCCGAATTCGGCTGCGCGACGCGGCCGAGAGGCAGCGCGGGAAGGTCCTCAGAAACGCGCCGAGGTCATGTTTCGGAGGGGCGGCCGTTTTGTAAGCTTCGGCAATGCAATGAAAAATGAGGGCCCCTCCGAAAACGTGACCTCGGCGCGATTCCGAGGACCTCCCCGCGTTGAGCGGGGACTTTTGAGTTTAGGCTCGCCGTGAGAGCGAGGCGTTCACGAACGCTTCGAAGGGAGACGCGGCTGGCTCTGCGGGAAACGGCTGGCCGTCCTCTTCCCCTTCCTCCCCCTCCTCCCCCTCCCCTCCTCCTCCTCCTCCTCCTCCTCTTCCTCCTCCTCATCCTCCCTCCTCCCTCCTCCCCCTCCTGGTGTGAGTTGTTCGGTCCCCTCCCCCTCGCCCGCCTCCTCCTCCTCCTCCTCCCTCCTCCTCCTCCTCCCCCTCCTCCTCGTTTTCGTCGTCGTCAGGGTCGGCGGCGGTGGATTTTTCGGCTGTGCCTTCGAGGGGGCCCAGTCCCCCGCCGTGCAATCGTCGCCTGTATCCCCCCGAAGGGGCCCCCTGGATCGCCACTCCGTGTCCGAGGGTTCAGCGGCTTGGACTGGCAAACACACCAGTCCGAAGCGACCTTTCGTCCGACCATTTTATAATCGTTCCGCTTCGCGGTGTGTATCCGCCGCCCTATTTGTGCTTATGCGAGACCCTATTTCAAAAGTACTTTGGGAGTACTTCGCGGGAGTACTTTGGGAGTATTCTTGGAGTAGTTATGTTGTAGGGGTTTTATACGGGGCGGGCGCATTCACAACGCTGGGGGCCCGCTGTCGGGCCCCAGGACCACAGCCAAGGGGACCAGGGTGGAAGATTGGCCCTGGAGAGTGGGTCGGGACCTCTGGGGCCGCGGATTGAAAAAGTCGGATCGGCGCATGTCAGGGGTCCAACGTATTGAACAATCAAGACATAGTTTTTTCGAAGGTTTCGGCCTCCAGGGGCCCTCGCCGAACCTCGGGACCGTCAACAAAACGATTCGCAGGATGAACATTCGGCCCCGGGGAAAGGGTCGTGATTTCTGGGGCCGCGCATGGAAAAAACCAAGACATCGGATCTGAGGGCCCCACCTCCTCCAGCCGCAGATACACCACGACTTGTTTGTTGTTTTTTGTTCCCCACATGCTTAGTGGGGTTCTGGTTTTCTTCCCTCCCGCGCCCCACCCGCGAAGCTCACACCTCACCTCTTTCTCCTTCTCCTCACACACAAAAACACACACAGACACACGCACACACAGACAGACAGACAGACAGACAGACAGACAGACAGACAGACAGACAGACACAGACAGACAGACAGACAGACAGACAGACAGACAGACAGACAGACGCACAGACACACAGACAGACAAACAGACAGACACACAGACACACACAGCCACACACAGACACACACAGACACACACAGGCACAATCTCACACACAGACACACAAGCGTGCGCTGGGGGTGGGTAAGCTATGCGTTGCAGGCTCGCAGGGCGTGACAGGCGTCGCATTTGGGTGCGCATGGGGTGGTCTCTCACCGCGGCCGCTATGCTCGACGGTCGTTCCGGCGGGCAATAAGATATAAAATCTTCGTCGAGTCGCCAAAGGAAACGTAGAAGGTTCGTAGATCAACGAGCATGTCACGTATCTTCGAACATTCGATGGAAACGCAATTCTGGGGTATATCAATCTAGTCGATCTGCTACTCGAGTGGCGAAACGGACCCCGAGAATTTGCGCCGCCACCAGCCCCCAAGAATTTGCACCACCAACACCAGTCTCCCTTCTTCCTTTACCCTTATCTTCCCCTCTTCTTTCCTCGGAGAGGGGGATGGGGTGAGGGTTTGGATGGTGGTGGTGGTGGTGTATACTATTGGGCCCCGTAGGTGGGGCGCGTGGGTGCTCGGGGGCATCGGGTGCGGTAGGTTCGCGTCGTGTCCAACGGCGGCGACCCCACCGCCGGCGTTCAGCGTTGAACGCCGCCGGCGAAGTATATTCGGTCGTTGTACACGATCTTACTTTTCGGGAACAGCCGATCGTTTCAGGTTGAACGATCCCCGCGGTGCCACCAACGCCGAAGTCGGCACGACACGAACCTGCCGTGCTTGGCTGCCGCGTTCGAGCTCGGAGTGCAGCCTGAGTTGATATGCCTGCTTCCTGCGAGGGAGGAAAAACCACCCGGACCGGACAATTGGCGTTTACTAAACGGCCTGGGGCGGTTACTAAACAGCCCTGCCCTGCTCGATTCCTTTAGCGGGGGCGTTTAGTAAACGGCTTCGCGTGTCGGGGTGGTTATTTAAGGGGGTGGATTTTTTGCCCTCTACTCCTGCTCCCCTCATCCCAAAAGCTCCCGGCGTCTAATTTTTTTACACCAGGCGTTTTCGCCCATTTTCGGGCCCCAGGACAATCACAAATCGATAGGGCTCGAGAAATGCGGCAGACAACATTGACTCTAAGGTTATGACAGTGTTTGTTCGCGATGTTGCGATTTGCTCTCAACGTCGGATCTCAGGGTCATCCTTTACATCCGACGATCCGTTTCTTCAACACGCGGCCCCAGAAGTCCCGCCCGACCCCTTCTCTGGGGCACGTTTTTCGCCCAGGATCCATTTCGGATCGCCCTATGGCCCGAAAGCGCGGTCCAAAGGCCGAAATGGAGGAACAATCCGGGGATTGGGAAGAACGTGAGCGCCCGAAGAACACGGGGTCGGCTGCGCCGACATTGGCGCACAAGCTTCCCGCGCAAGGTGCCGCGGAAGCGCCCTCGTTTCCATTACGGCGTGCCGCGTTGGTGGCCTGCGTAAGCCACCGCGTAAGTTCGCTATGCCATCTCGCGTAAAACCCGTGGAGCTGTTACAGTTCCTGCGCATGCTTCCCAGACCATTTGGAAGATGTGTCGCATGCGATCTGGCAGCCTGCAAGGACGGTGCTCTGCAAAGGGCGTTGAACTGGCAGGTCGCCCCCTGGACATAGGCTTAGGCTGGCAACAGAGCAAGCAAGACTGGGGACTACCAGCAGTGATGGGATAAGACGTCGGAATGGGGTTTACGGGGGCTCTGTGCAGAATGGTAGCCACGTTTTCTTTCGTCGCGTACGTGTCCTCGGAGATCTGGTGAGCCTGCTCTGGCACAAGCTGAAGTGTTTCACGCATCACCGAGCGCGTTCCACTACTCGCAAAGTGCTTACTCGCAAGCGCCCGAAAAACCCATGCTTGCCTCGATGCGATGGATCGTAAATCCCACGCGGCGGATCCAGGCCACTTGCGAATAGTTTCTTTGCGAGTGGTGGGGCGCGCCTGTCTATCCTCGGAGATCTGCTGAGCCTGTTCCGGCACAGCCCGAAGTGCTGCACGCTCTGAGGGCGCTCCAGCCGTCTGCGGCCCTCCCCCCTCTTTCCCCCCGCCGCTCCTTCGCCTCCGCACCCAGTTCGCTCCACATCAGCCCTATTGTAGCTCGACCGCAACTTGGACCCAGGGCGCCGCAAACCAGAGAAGTCCTCGGAGTCTGGGATCGTCCTCGCCCTCTGTCCGCGGGCTGCCAAAGGTGCCACTGGCCGCTGGCCCAAGGCCCCCCCCTCCCCAGCTTTCCGGTCCATGTCAAGAGAGGGAGAACCACCCGGACCCGAGAATTGGCGTTTGCTAAACGGCCTTGGGCGGTTACCAAACAGGCCTGCCCTGTTTGATTCCCTCTGTGGGCGCGTTTACTAAACGGCTTCGCGTGTCGGGGTGATTGTAAGGGGGGTGGATTTTTACACTCTATTCTTGGAGCCCCCGAGGCCCCCTGGGCCTCGTGATGGGGTTCCCTGGAAGCCGTTGGGCGAGCTGGCTCATGGGAGACCCTCGCACGGCGCGCGCCCGCGGCGGGCCCGCGGTCGCGCGCAAGCGGTCATGGATGCTGGTCCCGCAGGGCGAGGCTGGGCTGCGGCCAGCGCGGGGACCCTGGCGCGAAGGCTCCGTCGCGAGAGGCGTCGGGAGCTGGGGCAGCCGAGGGCGGCCGCGCTGGCGCATCGCGTAAGGGCCCTGCGGGCCTCGCTGGTGGTGCATTGGCGGCTGTGCGACGCGACGGGCTGCCACGTGCCCCTGATGCGCGGCGCGGTGGCAGCAGGCCGTCTCCTGGGCGTCGAGGGCGGCCTCATCGAGGAGGCCGAGGAGCTGCTGGTGCAGGGCAGTGCGGCTCGCCACGCGCCGCCCCCCCGGGGCTGCCCGCGGCCCGCCGCCCCCGCCGGCTGGAATGGACGTTGCGGTGCTGGAGGCGGCGCTGGCCAGCAGAGGGGAGGCGGCTTCGAGCCCTCCTCTTCGTGCTGGCGCCGCGCCTTTCGTGCCGCAGGGTTTCGCGGAGGCTGCGGAGGAGAGCGATGGCCTCGGGGAGCAGGCCGCCGCCGTGCTGGCGGCGCTGGATGTGGTCGCTGTCGAGAATATGTTAGAGCTGAACGAGATGCTGGCGTTCGGCACCGAGGAGTTTGACGAGGAGCCCGTCCAAGGCTTCGAGATTAACGACGGGATGCCGATGGCAATGCAGCGGGTTGGTTGTTTCACCGTCGGGTTCGAGGGCAAGCAGCAGGATCTGGATGGCATCGCCGACCCCACTTTCATGAAGGCAGTGGCGGACGACGGCGAGTTGCAGTTCGGCGGCGGGGCTGCTGCACCCCTCGCGCCTGGCCTGGCGCTAGGGGCCTCCCTGCACAGTGCGTCCCTCGATGGAGGTGCGGACCCGTTGCGCGGTGGCGGTGCGTCCCTCCCTGGCGGAGGCGTGGGCCCGCTAGGGGAGGCCCCGCCGAAGGGTGCCCACTGCACGCTGGCTGGTTGCGGCGCTGCTGCGCCCCTCGCGCCTGGCCTGGCGCTCGGTGCGTCCCTCGATGGAGGTGTGGACCCGTTGCGCGGTGAGTCCCTCCCTGGCGGAGGCGTGGGCCCGCTAGGGGAGGCCCCGCCGAGGGGTGCCTACACCGCGCTGGTCGTCCAGGAGGAGATCGTCAACCCCACTGGACGTGGACATCGTGAAACCGGACGTCGTCGAGGAGCTGTTCGAGGTGCACGAGGTGCTGGGTCTAGACGGACATCGAGAGCTCGAACTTCGTCGAGCAGAGGTTCGAGATCAGCGAGGCGATGGCGGTCGGGGCGAGCGCGGAGCAGTTCGACGATGAGGCCGTGAAGGCAGAGGCGATCGAGATGCAGGAGTCCGGCGAGACTGCGTTGGGCTTCGAGGTCAACGACGGGATGCCGATGGCCATGCACCAGACTGGTTGCTCCACCGTCGGGTTCGAGGGCAAGCAGATAGCATCGTCAACCCCATCTTGTTGGCTGGTGATCGGATTGCAGAGGTGCAACCTGGGGGAGCCGTGAAGGCAGACCCCAAAGATGAAGCGGAGATGACTGCCCTCCGCGCGGCGGTCGCAGCGGAGGACGACGCTGCGGAGTGCCTCCGCCGCTGCGCGGCTGCCTGCGCGGCCGCGGCGCGGGCGGTGGCGCGGCTGCAGGAGGGCCCCGCGGCGCTCCGAGACGGCGTCGCGCGCGCCGCTGCGGCCCTCAGGCTGTTCAGCGGGAGCGGAGGGCAGAAGAGCAGCACCGATCGCGGAAGGCCTGTGCCTGGGAGATGGCCTGTGCGATGGTGCGTGCGGGAGCCGCGGAGCCCGAGGCCAGGCCCCAGCAGCCAGAGCTCGGCGGTGAGTGCAAGCAGAGGCCGCAGTCGTGCGAGCCGCGGTGCAGAAACCGAGGGCTAGCCCACTCTGAGGCGGCTGGCCCGTAAGGGCGACCACTGGTAGCTCGGCGCTGGCGGCCCTCCCCCTCTCCCTCCCCTCCCCCCCTTCCCGCGCGACCTTTGTGCTTGGTCAAAAGGTCCAAAAGGTTCTTGGGAATTCTGGAGGCACTTTGGGCCAGGGGCACTTCTGGCAGCACCTGATCCGTGCTTCGGCAGCGAGCGAGGGGGGAAGAGAGAAGGAGATGGGCTTCTCAGAAGGCGGCGGGGCTCCTCAAAAGCCTTCGCGCCTTCTGAGAAGCTTCCTGTGCCTTCGGGGAAGGCTCAGAAAGCCCCTCAGAAGGCCAGGGGACCTCCGCGCCTTCTGAGAAGGCATTCCCCCCCTGGCGCTGGCCGCCGAGTGCTCCCCGCCACCCCCACAGGCCGAGTGCCCTGCCGCCGCCCGGCGCCCCGCAGCTGCGTGCGGAGGAGGCCCTGGGCGGGCCCCCTCCGGGCGAGCCGCCGACCGACCCGGGGGGCCTGGCTTGCTGCGCGGCCGCCCGGCCCAGCCGCGGGCCACGAGCGCTCGGGGGCCTCCAGGCGATGCGGTCGAGTCGATTCGCTATCAGCTGGATTCGATGCGATGCGCTTTTGATTCGCGGGCGGCCGCCTCTCCCTCCCTTCCCGTCTCTGTGTGTGTGTGTGTGTGTGTGTGTGTGTGTGTCTCTCTCTTTCTCGTTCGCTCCTGCGTCGCTCTCCGCCCCTCCCCTTGGGAGGCAACTCCTGATAGGTCTTCGTTGGGGCGATTAGGACGATTGAGCCCGATTAGAGGGCCACTTCGCCAGATCGGGCCACCCGATCCGATTCGATTCCGATATTCTGACGATCCGATGCGGCCCGATGCCTGCGTGGCGCTGTAGTGCCTTCTGGCGCAGCCGATCCGATTCGATCTGGACCCCATGCTGGCGCAGCCCGACCCGATGCACATGTCGATTCCATTCGGTTTGCGGATTCTCTGCTAACTGATCTTGCCAGAGGCAAGCAACAATGATTTCTTGAGGTTTGGGATCGATTTCTGCTTCCGACACCCTAAGGAAGCCCCGGATGCATCCAAGGTGGCCGCAAGACAGCCCGAATCCTCAGGAGGGCTCCGGGACGGCCCAAGTCGGCCCCAATGTGTTCGACCCTGGAAGGGGTCCCGACCTCCTCTGGCCGCCGGCCTGGCCATGGCCGGCGGGGCCAGGACAGGGATGAATCGTTCCAGAGCGCTTCAAGAACTCTCCCAGGGCGTTCCGGAGCCCTCTGAAATGGCCGCGGCGCACAGCGCACATCCTCCAGAGCCGCCGGACCGCAGAGGTCCCCGCTCTGTCCTGGTCCGAGGTTGCCCCTGTCCTGGTTTCGTCCTGCGTGGGCCACGGGCTTCCTCTTCCCGCAGAGGGGGAGGCCCACACGCGCAGACAGCTCCGGCGATCCGCATTTGGCCATTCCAGCGTGTGCTTTCTCCCTCGGCTTCGGCCTGCGGCGGCCGTTCTCCGGGCCCCCGGGGCCAGCAACAACGGATCTGGGGCGAAGAGCTCGAAGATGCGGATCGGCTGCACAATTCATTTGCTCCAAAACTGATTTGCTCGTCGAATCCAGGCGAGATGCGTAGACTGTTCGTAGACCTTCAACGTATGAGTCGGCGAGGAAAAAATTGGGGTGAATCAGTTCTGTAGTCGATCCCCTGTTCGAGGAGCTGGCCCTGGGAAGGGGGGTCGGGACCTCCTGCTCCCGCGGATGGAGAGCAGCAAGTCGGGCGGAGGTCTGGGCCTTCTCTTCTCGTGCACGGTCGGGCCGAGGCATAAGGTCAAGATCGCTTCGGGAAGGTGCCCTAGTTCTAGACTTCGAGAGCCTAGGGTTCGCTAGGGAATGGTTTCCCCTCGAAACAACGAAAACCCTTCCAAAATCCCCCCGACCCTCTGAAAACCCTCCTGGAACCCTTCCCTGAGAGTTTTTTGAGGTTTTATGGAGGGTTCCGGCTGTTTTAAAGGGCACCAGCTCCTAGCGAACCGTGGACTTTCTAATCTTAGGCCTCCTGGGTGGGATCTTTTCGCGCCGGATCTGTGTGGCCCTGGGACCCGAAGCCAGGCGAAACGCCCGGCGTGAAGAGATGCGACGACCAGACCTCAGGGTTTACACGACACGAGCATGTCTGGGTCGGCCCCAGACCGTTCCACGAGTGCGTTCTGACCAGAACTTCAAAGTAAATCAGTTCCGACTCTTTCCCCATGGCCCGTTTTTCGTCCTGGCTCGTTTTCAGACGGCCTTGGGGCCCGGTGAGGGCCCCCAGAGGCCGACCACGACGAAATACCTCCGTGATGTGCTTCAATGCGTTGGAGATCTGAGGATACCACTAATCGGTCGCAGCCCACGTAGTTCATATCTTAAGCCACATGAGCTACGTCTAGCCGTGCGTACGCCACCTTAGCATCCAAATTGTACCGCCTTTATCTCTTTAGTACCCTCCGCGGTCATCCAAGGACGAGGAGGGAGGAGGAAGAGGAGGAGGAGGAGGAGGAGGAGGAGGAGGAGGAGGAGGAGGAGGAGGAGGAGGAGGAGGAGGAAGGGGAGCAGGAGGCGGCCGTGTCCGAATTTGGCTCGGACACCTGCTCCCGTTTCCCCGTCCCCGGCTCCCAATGCCCGGCTCCAGCGTCTGAGCGGCCAGCCCATGCTGGCGCCCCAGCGCCCACTCGCCGCACTCTCGTAGGTGCCTTGGCGCGGGCTTTTGTCTCGCCTTGTCTTGATGGTACTGGTGATGGTGATGGTGATGGTGGTAGAGATGCTGATAATGATGATACTGATGATGATAATGATGATGATGATGATGATGATGATGATGATGATGATGATGCTGATGATGATGATGACGATGATGCTGCTGCTGCTGCTGATGATGATGAGTATGAAGAAGATGATGATGCTGCTGATGATGATGATGGTGATGGTGATGATGATGATGATGATGATCATGATCATTATCATGATGATGATGCTGCTGATGATGAAGATGACGATGCTGGTGATGATGATGCTCATGATGATGATGATCATGCTGCTGATGCTGTTGATGCTGATGCTGATGCTGGTGTTTTGCTGACTATGATGATGATGCTGTTGATGATGAGCATGATGATGATGATGACGATGATGCTGAGGATGATGATGATGCTGATGATGATGATGATGATGATGATGATGATGATGATGATGATGATGAGGATGATGGTGCGCAGGAGGAGGAGCAGGAGGAGTAGGAGGAGGAGGAGGAGGAGGAGGAGGAGGAGGAGGACCAGTGCACACCTAAGACTCATCAGCGATGGTGCATTACACTCTCCCTCCTGGCTCCTTCTTCGTAGGCCCCTAGAAGAGTTTGTTGCCATTGAGGGAATTGTCCGGTTGGGGGACAAACGTGTAAAGATCCAGGAGCGTGCCCGAACACCATTTTCAGGAATTCAACGCTACGACTTAATATGATAGTGAGGTCTTGGCGATCTTGGTGACCGCCAAAAAAACACTCCTGGTACTTCAACACAGCGAACCAACGTAACTGTTGCGCCCTGACAATCAGAAACCGATCCAACACAGAATTTGTGGTACGTCAACCAGGAGAACTAGCGAAACTTAGAAAAAAACGGTTAGAACGAATACGCACAACGCCAAGGCGATAATCACATATTGACAACGGTCTGCTCCTAAACTGTGAAACTGTTGCAAACTTTTAAGACAAATGTGCGCCGCGCGAAGGCGAGAGCCGCATTTAGAAAACTACCCGCCCTCAATGCGTGAAGTTCGTGTATTGCGAAGGCCTTACGGCCGGTGCCGCCGACCCTGAAGACGACGAAGATGAAAACGAGCGGGGGGGGGTAGGAGGAGGAGGAGGAGGAGGAGGAGGAGGAGGAGGAGGAGGAGGAGGAGGAGGAGGAGGAGGAGGAGGAATGGGGTAGCAGCGAGAGGAAGCGAGTAGGAGCAACCAATTCAGGAGACCTCGGCCCTCGACGGAAATGGGAGGGAAAGGGCGGGGGCACAATTTTTTGTTTTTTAAAAATAACGAATCTGGCCTCTCCGGGCCTTCTTGAGAGTCCTTTCGGGGCTCTTTTGACCTGTCTGGGGGCCCCCTTTGACCGTCCTCGGGTAGGCGTTCTTGGGCTGTCTTGTAGGGCTTGGGCCGTCTAGGGGCGCTCTTGCGGATCCGTCTTTGCGACCCCCACAGAGAGCCCCTTTGTAGAAGCCGCAAACGGGGGATAGTATTCTGACCCGGGATCCCCCCCCCTGGGACCCTCCCCCCCCCTGGCGGGGAAGGGACTAAAGAGGAGGGGCTTCCCTTCGACTCATTGCAATGACAACGTTGTTAATTTTGCTTTGGCTGGGTTGCTTCATTTCGCTTTGGCTGGCGCGCTTGAGGACGAGGGCCCAGGGAAAGAGGGGGGAGCGGCGACGAACCCAGTAAAGAAGACGACGAGTACGTACGAGGACAACAGCCACCACGAACAACGCATTCCACACGCCGACCGGGTCGGCGGATTTGTTTGTAAAACTGAAGAACGTAAGTGCGCGGCGCTAAGATGAGAGCTTCATTTTGAAAGCCACCCGCTCAATCCGTGAAGCTCTTGCATTTTTCAGACAAGTGTGCACCGCGCTAAAGCGCGAACCGCCTTCTGAAGACGACCCGCCCTCAATCCGCGCAATGTTTGCCGTTTCCCGTTTTTCAAACGAATGCGTGTGGCGCTCAGGCGAGAACCACATTTTGAAAATCACCCGTCCTCCACCTGTGAAGCTGTTGTCAGTTTTTATGTAAAAGCTTCAGGGTCACAAATGGTGAGCAAGTCTCAGGCGAAACGCCCGGCCCGCCTTTTCGACTGACCTCTGTGTGCGACAGAAAAGAGTTAGGTGGAAGGAAAAGTGATAGAGGAGGAACAAGAGGAGGAAGGGGATGAGAAGGAGGAAGAGGAGGAGGAGGAGGAGCAGGAGGAGGAGGAGGAGGAGGAGGAGGAAGATGAGGAGGAGAGGGAGGAGTAGGAGGACAATAAGGAGGAGGAGGAGGAAGACAAGATTGAGGAGGTGGAGGGGAAGGAGGAGGAGGAGAAGGAGGAGGAGGACGGATACTTCTTACACTATGAGGAGGAGGAAGAGGAGGAGGAGGAGGAGGAGGAGGAGGAGGAGGAGGAGGAGGAGGAGGAAGAGGATGACTCGAGGACTCGAGATGGAGGGCAGCGCGGTCGACTACGCTGCCGCGCCTCCCGCCTGCGCCGACCGCGCAGGCCTCATGAGGTCGCGAGCCCACACCAGAGGCAGGGCGGGACTCCACCTCACTGCCACCTCCAGGGCAGCGTACTTGCTGCGTGGCCGCGGCCCCGTGCCAGGCCGCGCGGCTGCGCAGGCCTCATGAGGTCGCGAGCCCACCCCAGAGACAGGGCGGGCCTCCACCTCACTGCCTCTCCAGGGCCGAGTATCTC